CGATGCCATGTGGGACATCCACATTGGGTCAAATTCCAGGCAATTGCCATGCCGGCGGCGGCTTGCCAACCGCGGAAGAGTGAATTACAGCATTCCAGCGTGGCCTGCCTGGTCCTGGCAATTTGAGGTTTGGACCTTCCTCTGGGCCCGCAACCCCTCCCCCCACGCGGCAGAGTTCCCGAGCTCCTTCTCCAAGTTCTCTACGTCGTGAAGGTCCCCAGGAAACCCATTCCGGCTCCCAGGATAGCCGCCCATGCACTCGCTGCTTGCAACGTATCCTTTAGAGTTTTTGGGCTTTTAGAGTTTTTGGGTTTTTAGGGTTTTGTGGGTGTTTAGGGTTTTGTTGGGGGGTTTTAGGGTTTTGGGATTTAGGGCTTTTCGGGTTTAGGGGGTCTTTCTTGGGAAGGACACTGTTGATGCTTTCCCATGCGGAGCGCGTTTTTAGAAAGGCTTCCTTCTCCATTCACCAAGGAATAAGACAAGGGTGAGCTTGACTACTCCTACTAAATTAGGGGAACCCGAACAACCCTAAGATCTAAGCCCTCAAATGCGGCTTAGGGTTCAGGACTAACTTAGGGCCCACGGTTTAGTGTTTAGGGTTTAGGGGCGTAGGGTTTAGGGTTTAGGGACATAGGGCTGCTAACCCTAACCCTAAACTCCTAAACGTCGAACCATCCTCTCGTGGCCTGGGTGCGGAGGGGCGAGGGCCGGTTGGCTCCACGAGATCTGGCAGCGTCGAGGGATTTCTGAGCTCGGACCTAAACCCTAGACCCTAAACCCTAAACCCTAAACCCGAAACCCGAAACCCGAAACCCTAAACCCTAAACCCTACTCTTCTGGGTTCAGGGTCTAGGGCTTTACCCAAAGGCTCCTATGTAGTACCTTTTTGGGGAAGTATACTAGAATCCCCTATAGCTAACCCAAAAGGGAACTACGAGCCTTTGGGGAAGCCCTACACTCTGACATGAGCCCTAAACTACCGTGATTTTGAGTCTACTCCGAGCCTGGGCTCAGGTTTAAGGGTTAAGGGTTTAGGGTTAGGTTTCGGGGCTGTAGAGTCTCTGATGAAGGGCGCACACTTCGGAGGTTGGAACGCTGAGCCCCGCATTTTTAAAAGGGAACCTCAAGAAGCGAAATGCTCTTTTGAAGCTTCCAGACTCTTCATTTCCGCTTGGGCCTTGACGCCTCTCAAGCCATACTTGGGGGTTCAGGGTACTCATGACCCCAATCATAACTGTGCTAAACAGCCCCCGAAACCTCTAAGTAGGCTATAAGTAGTTACGAAAACAGGGGACCGCCCCAAGTAGTAGGATCCCCTGAAAGGAAGGACCCCAATAAGGTACCACCTGATATCGTAAGCCCCCTTACTTGGAGGTTCAGGGTACTTAGTAACCCATTATAAGTGTAGTTATAACCCACATATAAGCCCCTTAAGTGCCCTAATAGGGTTATAACTGGGTTATAGATACAGTCTAAGTACCATGAACCCCCAAGTAGCATTGGGGGTATTGGGGTCAGAAGTACCCATGAACCTCCAAGTGCCTAAACCCGAAACCCGAAACCCGAAACCCTAAACCCTAAACCCTAACCCTAAACCCTAAACCCTAAACCCTAAAACCCTAAACCGACAGACAGGGCCTTCATCATCGAAGTGGCCATGCCCAAACGGCTTCCTCGGCGGCACGGGGGGGTCTATCCTAGAGCACCCATGCGAGGCTGCCCTGAACCCTAAACTAGGGTTGTCCCTGAACCCTAAACCCTAAACCCTAAACCCGAAACCCTAAACCCTAAACCGCCCTAAACCCCTCAACCCCAAACCCGAACCGGTGTTTAGGTCAGGGTTTTTGGTTTCGGGAATCCTACATGCTCAATCTCCAGACCCCGATCCCTACAACCCACCGAGCCCCTTAAGCCTTGGCCCTATCTTCCTCCATTCATACAGGGTTTAGGGTTGAGGGTAACTAAGGTTTGGAGTTATAGGGTTTGGGGTAACTAGGTTTTAGAGAGTATACGGTTCAGGCTCTCTATGATGTTGAGGCCCCGACATACCACTAATTACGTGTGCCTACAGCACCCAAACCCGATGATACTGAGCCTATTCTTTCTGAACCCGAAGCCCTAAGCCCTAAGCCCTAAACCCTCAACCCCCAAAACCCAAAACCCCCAATCTTCTGAACTTACGTTCCTTGCCATTTCCGGCACCAAAACGGGCGCATGGTTTGGATCAACTCCCATATCTATCAGAAGCTCCCAAACGCGGAAGGCATCCAACAAATTGCCCAAAGACCAAACCCCAAACCCTAAACCCTAAACCCTAAACTTTAACACCCTACACCCTAAACCCTAAACCCTACACCCCAAACCCTAAACCCTACACCCTAAACCCTAAACCCTACACCCCAAACCCTAAACCCTAAACCCTAAACCCCTGCGGGGACCCCAAGGAGGCACCCGAAGACCATGCCAGGTAAAGGCTTCTTGGTCTCTTTCAAAACGAACTCACCAGGGCTTGGGGTTTAGGGTTTAGGGTTTAGGGTTTAGGGTTTAGGGTTTAGGGTTTAGGGTTTAGGGTTTAGGGTTTAGGGTTTAGGGCTTAGGGCTTAGGGCTTAGGGCTTAGGGATTAGGGTTTGGGGCCCCTGGGCGTTTAGACTGTTTAGGGTTTAATATGGGAGTTAGGGTGTTGTCATGTGGTCAGTTCTCTCTCAAAAAGGGACCCTAATTTAGAGAAGTGACCATGTAGGGTGTAGGGGGGGAGGGGGGTGATCCTGATGCGATGGTCTTGAGTTGCAGTAAACCCTAAACCCTAATCCCTGTGAACCCTAAAACCTAATACCCTAATACCCTAAAACCTGAACCCAAACCCTAAACCCCCTAAACCCCCTAAACCCCCTAAACCCCCTAAACCCCCTAGACCCCCTAAACCCCCTAAACCCCCTAAACCCCCTAAACCCCCTAACCCCCCTAAACCCCTAAACCCCCTAAACCCCCTAAACCCCCCTAAACCCCTAACCCCTAAACCCCCTAAACCCCCTAAACCCCCTAAACCCCCTAAACCCCCTAAACCCCAAACCCTAAACCCTAAACCCTCGATGCCGCCAAGACTCGCCGAGTTCTCAGCGCTAGTGGAGCCCTTCAGCCAGTTCATGGCGCCCAGGTGAGCCGAAAGAAACTCGCAAAGTTGGGTTTTGCAGCGGGCCGATGGCTTGCAGGACCCAATAGGGTTCTTCAGGGATGCTTGGGGACACTTAGGGTGTTTTTTGGCTTGCTTAACCCTAAGCCCTAGACCCTAAACCCTGAAAACCTAAACCCTAAACCCTGAAGAGGATTGCCACGTTTGTTGTGTTGTGGTGGTGACTTCGGGATTCCGGTGGCCATGTGCCAGCAACTTTGGCCAGGCAGTTGCCTATAGGATCGAGCCGACAGCCGCCAGGGTGTAGGGCACCCTTATTCCCTTAACCCTCAACCCCCTTCAACCCTATAAACCCAACCCTTAATCCCTAACCCTAAACCCTAAACCCTAAACCCTAAACCCTAAACCCTAAACCCCGAAAAGCCCTCACCCCTGGCATCCACTGGAGCCCCGGGACAAATGTGTGCCCAGGTTACGTACCTTCTTCCCGACTTTGGAGTAAACCAGTAAACCCCGGAAAAAGAAGGTATATACTTTTCAGATAAAAAGTGGCTATAGTACGAACCCAGAATCAAAACAAGTACTAAAGTCGAGTACTCCAAAAGTAGCGATAGTAGGAACCCAGGAATGGCCCAGAACCAAGAAAAGTGAAGCCTGAACAAACTTGACATGGCTCACCGTGTGCATGTCTGCTTCTCAAGCCACTTCAGCCGGCCTGCTCTTCATCTTCCTCTGGAAGTTCCGGAGGGGCATCCTCATGACTTCTGGAAGAGCCATCCTTCAACCGGAGCATTGTCATAGTCTCGCCGGAAGCATTCGCGGCCTCGTGGCGGTCCTGTGGATTTCCCAGAAGATCGCGATACCCGCAGGCTGCGGAAGCCCGAGCCCCCAAAGCCTTCCCCCCTAAGGGTGCATGTGACCCCACAAAGGGTTTTAGGGCTTAGGGGTTTAGAGGTTTAAGGGTTAGGGGTTTAGGGGTTTAGGGGTTTGGGGGTTTAGGGGTTTATGGGTTTAGGGGTTTAGGGGTTTTAGGGGTTTGGGGGTTTAAGGGTTTAAGGGTTTAGGGGTTTAGGGGGTTTAGGGGTTTAGGGGTTTTAGGGGGTTTAGGGGTTTAGGGGTTTAGGGGTTTAGGGGTTCGACCTTTGGGGGCTTCGAAGGTGCTTTTGCAGTACCCGAGAAGGTCGGAGGTTGCAGTGCCTGGTCTCAGCATCTGCACCCGAGATGCCCACCCCAGGTCTGTGGTTTAGGGTTTAGGGTTTAGGGTTTAGGGGTTTAGGGTTTAGGGTTTAGGGTTTAGGGTTTAGGGTTTAGGGTTTAGGGTTTAGGGTTTAGGGTTTAGGGTTTAGGGTTTAGGGTTTAGGGTTTAGGGTTGTGAACTGCGAACTTCCTAAGCCCTAAAAACCCTAAAAGCCCTACAAACACTATAAACCCTGTAATCCCTATAAAGCCTATAACCAATATTGACCCTGTAAACCTTATCAACTCTGCAAAACCCTATAAGCCCTGCAAACCCTGAAACCTTTAGGTTGTGCAGTTCAGGGTTTCTAATTAGGGTTTCGGGACAACCCTAAACAGCCCCTGCGCGATGTCGCCGGGCTGCGTCTTAAGAACCTGACCAACATGAACCGTAGTTACCCTAGCTTACCAGTCATGACCACCTTTAAACCGTAAACCCTAAACCCCTGAACCTCCAAGTAGGGGTTAAGACTTTATGGATCGGGTCTTTCGCTTGGTGTTTAATTAAGATCTGCAAAATTGTTTTGAGGACCCAGGGTCGAGAGTTCAGTTCAGGTTCAGGGTTTAGGGTTCAGGGTTTACAAGGGTTGTAAACCCTGACACTTTAAGGTTTAAGGTTCAGGGTTCATGGTTTTAGGGTTTAGAGCTTGTATGCCCTGACACTTCAACACCCTCAAGCGCCAAAATCAGGTGCCCGGCGTTGCAGGGCAAAGCGGCACAGGGGCTCCCGGTGGTCCAGTCTTCCACGGGGACGCCCGAGACCCTGTCTTGAGGAGGCTCTGGGTATCATGAGCCGCACTACTACTGCACGGGGTTTAAGGGATTAAACGGGTTTAAGGGATTCAGGGTTGAAGGAGTTACGGATCCAGGAATTTGGGGCTGAAGAGGTCATAGGGTTTAAAGGTTCAAGAGGCGTGAATCTAAGGTCTAGAGTACAGGGTCTGTCTATAAGGCATCAAGTAAAGAGGGTTTCCAGACCCAGGAGTAACCTCGGAAAGAAAAGCGTGCCCTGTTTGGTTTTAAGGGGACTACTAAGGGAACTAAACTCTAAAAAAAGCGAATAAGGGCCTACTCTGGGTCCTAGTCCTAAACTCTAAACCCTAAACCCTAAACCCTAAACCCTAGAAAAATATGAGGGTTTCAAGGCATCCACAGAACCTCCCTGATTTAGGGTGTAGTTTTATATTGAAACCACCAAAATTTTTGTTCAACTAATCGAATTGTTTGTTGGATGCCAGGATGATTAAAATGTTGTGATTTATGAGGGTTTCGGGTTTAGGGTTTGGGGTGTAGGGTATGGGGCTTCGGGTCCTCAACCCTAAGCCCTAAGGCGCCTGGGTGGGGATCTGAGGCTTCGAGATATGGTTTGGGGGCTTAGGGTTTAGGGTTTAAGGGTTTAGGGCATAGGGGCTTTATCAGGTTTATGGTTAGTGGTTTTGGGTGGTTCAGGGAACATGGTTGAGCTGCGAGCCGCGCGGACTCACTGTCACAAGCGCACGCGCCTCTGGAGGAGTCTCACGGGTGTAACGCGTCCCCACGAGCGGCAGAGGGCAGGGCCGGCTGGACGATGCGCGGCCCGCGCCCCTCCTGAGCGGGTCTTCTTCCGTGTCTCCATGGCAGCGGAGGCAGAGGCGCCCGCGCGCCAAGGGGGTGTGAAAGCCTTCACCGCATCCTGCCATCGTGCTCGACCCTAAACCCTAAACCCTAAACCCTAAACCCTGAACCCTAAACCCTAAACCCTAAACCCTAAACCCTAAACCCTAAACCCCTACTTGCTGCGCAGGAGAGTTCTCAAGAACGCCACGTCCGCAGCTGCGGGAGCCGGGCACACGGGGAGCCCTACTTGAAGGGTCATGGTACTTATTAACCAATTATAACTGTACTTTTAGGTTTTAGGGTTTAGGGTTTAGGATAACTGTACTTTATAACTGTACTTATAAGCCCCTTAAGTGCCCTAATAGAGTTATAATTGGGGTTTTAAGTTTTAAGTACAGTGATAACTGGTTACTAAGTACCATGAACCTTCAAGTACAAGCCTTCCTAAACATCCAGGCCTCTGAGAACCTTCCACAAACCCCTTAATTAAGGAACATAGCCGACTTCATAATAATAGTGATCCTTGATATAAATTGGGGTATACTCTTTACTTGGAGGTTTGTGGGAAGATTTGGGAATTCCGGGGCCTGAGCCCAGAGCTCTTCCCTAAATCGGAAAGCCGAAGGGTCCGCCAAACTGCTTGAACCCCCGAAGCTTGGACATCAAAAGCTAGCGCGTTAAAGTCGTAAGCCCGAAAGCTAAGGGTTTGGGGGTTGAGGGACTATACTTTGGAAACCTAAACCGCAATCCCTCCCTCTGCCTTCCCCCCAGAGTCTTGGCACAATCTTGAACCCTGAACCCTAAATCCCCCGCGAGATGTGGCAGAACCTTGCAACCTGAACCATACATCCTAAAGCCTGATCCCTAGCTTAAACCCTGAACCCTAAATGTGGGTTTCCGATTGGGGTCCTTATTACAAGGGAATCCTACTACTTGGGGTCGCAATTAGGGGTCACATATGTTCGTACCCTAAACCCTAAACCCCAAACCCTAAACCCTAAACTCTAAGCCCTAAACCCTAAACCCTAAACCCGGCTTTGGAGCCTCCGGCGCCAGTGAACTCGCCACTGGATGGCCGAGCACTGCCCGCTCGAGAAGCCGGGGACCTTGCTTCTGATTCTAGGGGCTGTTCCCTAAACCCTAAACCCTAAACCCTGAACCCTGAACCCTAAACCCTAAACCCTAAACCCTAAACCCTGAACCCAGCGAAGGCCTTCCAAGTCTCCTCCGGGGCATGCTAGATGCAGTCATGAAAGTTGTACCTACACTGAGGGGCAGGTGGCTTGGCTGCACTTAGGAGGGTAGCTATGAATTAGTTTTTTAGCTGCCTTACTAGGAAGCCCAATAGACCCAAAAAGGCTAAAGATCTAAAGTTACAGTAAAGCACCACAAAGGTGGAATCTAGGCGCTAGTCCCCAACAATTTGGAAATAACAAGCCCAAGCCCTAAACCCTAAGCTTGGACCAAAGCCCTAAGCCCTAAACTTGAAAAGCCCTTAACCCTAAACCCTAAGCTTGAACAACCCTAAGCCTCAAACTTGGAAAACGCTAAGCCTTGAACCCTGAACTCGCAAAAAAACCTAAGCCCGAAGCCCTAAGCTTGAACAACCCTAAAGTTGCAAAACACAACCTAAGCCCCAAAACCCTGAACTTCTTAGGAAGAAGAAAGCCCTAAACCCTAAACCCTAAACCCTAAACCCTAGACCCTAGACCCTAAACCCTAAACCCTAAACCCAAAACCCAAAACCCAAAACCCTAAACCCTAAACCCTAAACCCTAAACCCTAAACCAAACAGCCCACTGGGCTCCCACACCCAGGTCAGTGCCAGCCAGGTCTCGCCGGCCGCGGCTGCGTCCGGGGCGCTTGGGGGCACCTCAGGGGGGGGTTACCCAACCCTTTGCTGCCGACATAGGGTTTAGGGTTTAGGGTTTAGGGTTTAGGGTTTAGGTTTAAGGATTAGGGCCATGTTACCAGCTTGCTTTACGTACTCGAGGTGCCTGGAGGACCTTACACACCTGAGCCCCTGACATCCAGAGCTTCGAAAAGCCTAAGACTCATCGGCCCCAAATACCATGGTACCCTAATAACCCTAAACCCTAACGCTAGGGCTCCAAGTATAGCCCTAAACCCTAAACCCTAAACCCTAAACCCTAAACCCTAAACCCTAAACCCTAAACCCTAAACCCTAGTACCTACCTTGGAGTCGAAAGTCTACAGCTGCTGCCTACTTTGGGCTGTTTGGAGCTACCCGAAGCCCTAAACCCAAAACCCCGAAACGCCGAAGTGCCCGAAGCTCTAAACCCTACTGGAAACTATACCACCCATAAACCATAATCGCAAAATAGCTCCTAATATTCCCGTTGGGTTTTAGAAAAATGAAGGAACAAAATCACTTCTAAGAGCATATTATAGGCAAAACCCTAACCCTAAACCCTAAACCCTGAACCCTGCACCCTACACCCTAAACCCTAAACCCTAGAGCCTAGAGCCTAGAGCCCTCGCCTTGAGCCTGGTGCCCTCTGAGCTCCCGACGCTGGGGTCGATCAAGATCACAGCCGCATCCTCGCAAAGCGCTCACCCTAAGCTTTGGGGTTTAGGGTTTAGGGTTAGGGTTTAGGGTTTAGGGTTTAGGGCCTGAACACCCTATAAACCCTATTGGAACCCTAATAAAACCCATAATTCCCTATGAATCCTAATTGCTAGGGGTCCTTAACAGGGATTATAGTACCCCCCTATGATAATCCCGATTAAGGACTGCTAGCATAAGGGGGAACATCCCCAAGTTATGGGGTTGCTGGGTGTACGGGGCCCCCGCACGTTCTGATTCCCTTGCGGTTGATTTTAGCGCCCCGAACCCCAATCCCAAAACCCCAAACACCGCCCGTCCAAAAAACAAGCAAAAGTACACTCTAAACTCGAAACCGTCTGAAACCTCTAAACCCGACAAACCCCCAGAACCAGAACAACAGACGACCTCTGGGGACCTGGCTAGCTGAGTCCACGGGCTGTTGGCATAGGGGTCGCTGCAGATCTCTTGCACGCGCACGTGGTACGTGCCTTGTAAAACAGCACCCTAAACTCCTAACCCCTAGACTCCTAACCCCGAACCCTTATACCCTAAAGCGTTTAGGGGTTGGGGGGTTCAGGGTTTAGGGCGTGGGGGGGGGGGGGGGGGGGGGGGATGAAGGCCCTAAACCCTAAACCCTAAACCCTAAACCCTAAACCCTAAACCCTAAACCCTAAACCCTAAACCCTAAACCCTAAACCACCCTAAACTTGGAATGTTCCCCCCTATACTGGAAGTCCTCAATAGGGCGAATCGGGGGACCAGAATCCCAATCAAGGCCCATTAGCATAAGGGGGGAACATCCCAACCTTAAGCCCTGCTTCACTACAAAGGGTTTAGGGTTTAGGGTTTAGGGTTTAGGGCTTAGGGCTTAGGGTTTAGGGTTTAGGGTTTAGGGTGTATGGAGTTGAGGTTCCGGACGCAAGAGTTTGAAAACGGGCTTAGGGTTTAAAGGCTATAGGATTTAGCGTTCACTGCTGGGTTTCAGATAAATTTTGTTTGGGGGATGCCATATGTGCAAGGGCTCCGATAAACAAAGGGTTTCTGTTGGGACGCTCCCCCTTATACCAACAGTCCTTCATAGGGATACTAAGGGTGTAGGGTTTAGGGTTTAGGGTTGAGGGTTTAGGGTTTAGGATCCCGACTAAGAACTGTTCGTTCGTGCAAGGGGGAGGATCCCAAGGCATACTCAGAGGACCCCCCAGTTTGGGAAAAGCCTATTTCGATCCGGAGCTTGCCCTCCAGAACACGGTTTAGGGTTGTGGATTAGGGTTTGGGGTTTAGGGTTTAGGGTTTAGGGTTTAGGGAGTTTAGGGTTTAGGGTTTAGGGTAACAAAAACAATTCACAACACCTGAACCCATGAAGTGAGGTTGTGGGAGGCTTCGTGCCTGCCACGGGCGACGACGAAGCTGTGTCGATGAGGTTCAGCCTTCGCGTGCTTCGGGCTTTAGGGTTTAAAGTGCTTCTAAAGCCCAAAACCCAAACACCCTGAACCCTAAACCCTAAACAACTCAAAACCCTAAACCTATGGAACCCCAGAGGTGTTTGGGGGATCCGAGCTTATGGGGTTCGGGGCTTACTGTAGGGCTTGGGTATGGGGTTTCGTAGGATTATTGGGCCCCCCGTAAACCTCTAGTTGAAGTTGAGATTCCAAACCGCTGCCCCCGACCCCAACCACTCGTCGAGTACGCATGTAGGTACCACTTCACTAGACCCAAGAGCAACCTAGGAATAAAAATGGTGCCCTTTTTGGGAACCTAAACTGTAAGAAAAGGGGCATAAGGGCCTCCACTGGGTCCTAGTATCCCTTGAATCCGAACCTGGTAGGTTTTAGGGTTTAGGGTTTAGAGTTTAGGCTTCAGGGGCAGAGTTTAGGGATCCGCAACCCCTTCAACACAAAATTAACTCGAATACAGGCAGATAAGGGACCATGTACCTGAATGGCCCTATTCGGGTCAGACCCCAAACCCCAAAGCCCCAAAAGTCCCAAGAAGCCCTATCTCTTCTAGGGTTGTTTCATGGTTTGTTAGCATGGGCCCCTTATATACCCTATATAACCCTCGGCCCATACAGCAGAATCCTTTAGGGCAGGTAAGGGACCATACTGGAGGCCCATGATACCCCCTAAACACTAAACCCTAAACCCTAAACCCTAAACCCCAAACCCCAAACCCCAAACCCTGCGAACTTCGGCTGAAGACCCCTAAGCTCGCTGCTCTTGCAGTGTCGCTGTGCAGGAGACACCCAGGCGGGGAGCCGAGGAGCATGTCGCAATCGCCTCGCACGACTTTGTTGCCCCTTAAGGTTTAGGGTTTAGGGTTAGGGTTTAGGGTTTAGGGTTTAGGGTTTAGGGTTTAGGGTTTAGGGTTTAGGGTTTAGGGTTTCGGGTTTAGGGTTTAGGGTTTAGGGTTTAGGGTTTAGGGTTTAGGGTTTAGGGTTTCGGGTTTCGGGTTTCGGGTTTCGGGTTTAGGGTTTAGGGTTTAGGGTTTAGGGTTTAGGGTTTAGGGTTTAGGGGATTCTAAAGGAAACAGAAACCCTGAAACAAGGGAATATGGGCCTACTCTGGGTGCTAGTTGTTTGTAAGGGACCAGGTTAAGGGTTGTAGGGCTTTAGGGTTTTCGGGCTTTAGACCTTTGGGGCTTTAGGGCTTTAGGGTTCAAGGGTTTAGGGTTTTGGGTTTGGGAATTGTAGGGCTTTAGGGTATTAGATTTTGGGGTTTAGGTTTTTGAGTTTTTTGGGCTTCAGGGTTTGGAGTTCAGGGAGCCATGTTTAGGGCTAAGGGATACGGGCATAGGGTTGGAAGGCTACCAACAGGCCCCTCAGGACCATAGCCGAGAGAACGGCGAGAACGTGGGCTCAGCTTGTCTCTCACGCACAAAAGAACACTTCTGACTGGTTTTGAGTAGGGAATGAGGCAATGAGGTACCCTCTGTCATCCCCTAAAGGGTATTGAATAGGGCCCTAATTCCCTCATTCTCTACTAAGGATCAGGGGGTCTTGAGGGCCGAAAGGAGGGACCCGCATAAGGGACCTTAGGGGTGTTAAAGGCTATTTAGGTACATAGGGACCCTTTCAAGGCATCATAAGGGTTTTTTTTTCTGGGTTGTTTAGGGGAATAAGATTAAGGGTCGCTTCTAATGGCCCCTCTATATATCCCCAAACAAACCAAAAACCCTAAACCCTAAACCCGTCAACTCATCCTCCTCCACCGTTGCTTCGGGCTTAGGACTTTGGTCGCAGGACAAAAGGGAGGGCTCTCCCCGCATGCTCCTTTGCGTTGAGGGTTTATGACTTAAACCCTAAACCCTAAACCCTCAACCCTGAACCCTAAACCCTAAACCCTAAACCCTGACCCTAAACCCTAGGCCCTAAACCCGAAACCCTGAGCCTGTTGCAGGCTGTCAGGCGCCACGAGCTCCACGGACCAGGCACTGTCGGCGAAGGGCTGTTGAGTCGTCTAGAAGTCCAGAGGATCCCGTGGTGTAGGGTTTAGGGCATAGGGCATAGGGCTTAGGTTTTAGGGTTTAGGGTTAGGGTTTCGCCTTCTTGGGGTCCAAATATTAGGATTGAGGGTTTAGGGGCTGAGGGTTTAGGGTTCGGCGTCCACATGAGGGTTTAGGGTTGAGGTCTTTCGGGTTGAGGTAAATGGACCCCTTAGACGTTGAGGGTCAGGGGAAAATTGCAATGTTCCTTCATCTTCGTTACAGGGTCCTGACTTCATGGGTCCATTGGTTTATATACACGCACGCAATCATACAAATAGGACAACAAACTGCAAACATAACATATGTATACACACAAGTTCACTTGCCTGTTTCGTCTGTTCTTTCAGGTGATTAAACCTCTCATTAAACACAGGCTACCCGAACATTCGACATTCCTCATCTGCTATTGGTAGACCTTCTCTTCTGGTTCATACTTGTACGGGGCTCTTTACAGAAGAGGGTAGGGATCCCAAAGAGATTGAGGGACCTAAGCGCTGAAACCTATAGATCCCAGATTAAAGCTGCAAGGGCCCTTGGAACTACGAAGGAATCAACGACCTTCTTGAAGAACGCCTTATGGGAATGGATGGGGCTGAAGGTTTAAGAGCTGTGTTTCAAACCTGAAGCCAAAACCCTAAAACCCTAGAATCCTAATATCTAAAACCCCCCAAAAACCCTAAACCCTAGACCCTAAAGCCCTAAACCCCAAAATCCTGAACCTTCAAATTCAAACCCTAACCTCTAAACCCGTTCGGGCACTGCCCTCGGAGCAGAGCTTGCATGGCCACATCGTGGGCACGTGCACCCACGCCGGAATGCAGTTTGCATCGAGTTCTTGGGGGTTTGGGGTTTCTTGGGTTTGGGGTTTATGGGTTTTTGGGGTTTAGGGTTTAGGGTTTTTGGGTTTAGTTATTTTAGGTTTTTTGGGGTTTAGGGTTTTTGGGTTTTGGGTTTAGGGGTCATGAACGCAACCGGAAATTCTGCGAATTGCGATGGCCCTTGCCTTTGCTGTTTCTTGTTTAGGGTTCAGGGTTTAGGGCTTGGGGTTTAGGGTTTAGGGCCTAGGGTTTAGGGTTTAGGGGTGGCTTGGGCGCCCAGGAATCTAGCTAAGTTAAGCCGTTTTTGAAAACCCGGCTGGGGCATTGGGAGCTTGGTCTTTGGGTCTTGCAGGCTGAGAGCTTGGAGTTGAACTTTTGGGGCTCGGAGGACTCGGAAGGTCAAGGTGTAGGGTGTAGGGTTTAGGGTTTAGGATTCAGGGTTTAGGGCTTCATTAGGGTTTAGGTCTTAGGGTTTAGGGGGTTCAAGGTGCGACTCCGACTTCGGAGGTGATTCTCAGCATTGTACCACCCACCCGCCCCTCCTGAAGACGCAGTCACCGCTGTCGCCGGCGGACCAAGTCATGTCGATGGAGAAGGCCGAGCCCTGCGCGCACAATGCTCGAAGTTGGTCCAGACGAAACAAGTCAGAAACCCTATAGGAAACCTTCAACCCTAGCCCCTAAACCCAAAACCCTCAACCCTGGTCCATCAAGAAGAAGGTACATGGACCCGTCGGGGAACAAGGCTCAATTTAAAACGAACTTTGCAAAAAAATGACTTTGATGGGTTAGTATAAGCAAAGAAAAGGCTTTACGGCCCGTAGCACAGCAAAACAGTGTCAAAACAACTTCAGCATTTAATTGACCATTCGGCGTTAGGGTTCAGGGCAGTGCTTCCAAGCGTGGAAGATGCGTGTGGGGCTTTGGGTTGAGTCGAGGCTGGGGTGGTTGGCTTAATGGTTCAGTACTCTTGGGGAATTGAAGGTTAACCTTTGGCATCATATACGGACTCGAATACCAAGAACATATAAGGCTGCCAACTCTGCTACTAAGTTGGGGTAAAGGCTCGTCTTCAAAAAGACACAATTCACCACTGGCCTCGGGAATTGTTGTCTTCGGTTACAGCGTGCTTCTAGGTTTGGGGGCAGTAGGTTTGGGGGTTAGTTTAGGGGGCTTGGGCAACGGCCAGACTGAGACAAATGACTGTGTTTGCTTCTGAGGTCTGAAGACTGCGCTCGGATTCGAGGTCTCCCAAAGATTCAGGGTTTAGCGTTTAAGTTTATGGTTCATTTTTGGAGATTGTTTGGGCCCCAAATCTCTGGGTTGGGAGGTCGGGGCTGGGAGAGGGGTGGTTGGGAAGGGCGGAGGGAACGCTCCTATTTACTGAATGTGCCTCTTGCCTCCTTATACAACATATACAGCACAAGGATGCACGTTTTGGAGTCAGAGACAGTGTCACAAGCGCTCATGCCTGTTGCGAGCATGTCAAGAAAGAGTGATTACAGAGTTTTCGCACTGTCAATGTGACTTCTACAAGTTCCTTCGACACCTTACGAAACCCCACTGCAACAATCTAGAACACGCATCCCTGACGTCACGAACAACATGTTCCGGATCTGTCTTTTGCAAAGTAGCTTTCAGCTCTTTTGCTCCTGCAAAAGCCAGCCTCTTTTCGGACCCAAAATGCCGAAAACGCTCTAAGTAGCACCACTTTTGGGCTCCCAAGTGTGCAATAGTATATACTTGGGACCTCAAACTATATACAGGGACCCGTTTTAAGGCCCAAGTACTATGTAGGCACATGGATCCTTACGGCTAGATGCACGACACTGCGCACGCTCGATGCGAATGAAGTGACATCGTCCAGGGAGCGAGATTCCGGCACACCAAGCGGTCACCAAGCGCGTGGCCGAAGAGCCGCGGACAAAAGCAGAGTGCTTGCCTGTGGTTAATTCCCAATAAATGAAGGGTTGGGTTTCTATCTCTGAAGGCGGGGGGGCCATTTGCCACCCCGGAGCCCAGCCCAGGAAACAGAACGCCGGAACGGAACGGAACGGAACTTGATCATCTTTGGGTTGCAGAGCTGGGTAGGAAAGCAAACCCATCTGAACAAGAAAAAAGGGTACGAGCCTCCCAATCGAGGCCTAAAAACCCGTAAAAGCCCTAAA